CTACCGTGTCCGAGAAGTGCCACCTTGCTTTGTAATGTGACTTCAAACTCAGAAGTCGCGCCGTAGTCCCCCGATCGGCCCCGGTAGTCGAGGGCGCCGCAGAGCGCGATTGGCTGCAGGCGGGACGCGTCATAAACTGCCGTGATTTGTTTACGCGTTGCCCTCGACTACCGGGGCCGATCGGAATCGTGATTATAGAGAATGTTCTCTTCTTCACGTTTTCTCTTGTTTCTCATTGAAAGCGGTACATGCACTGTGGCCAGTAGTCTGTCCCGTAGAGATGCTTGCATGTTCACTTGTTTTTAGCTCATCTGACGTAGTCAGATGCAGCTTTGTAGAATCGCATGATCGTGCGTGCGTGCGTCCGTCAACAGTTGGGCACAAATCTAAACAGCTTGACGTATGGTCACGATATTCGGGACGTGGGGGGGTAATCCGAAAACGAGTTGGGATGTTGAAGCTGGGGGGTCAAAGGTCAACGGTCAAGAGGTGTAAAAGAAGGGGGAACATTCCCTCCTTAACTTAAGGTATAGGGAGGAAATGCAGAATTGCGGAACAAATCTAAACGGCTCAACCTAGGCTTGTGATAGTCGGTGTATAGCATCATGGTAGGAAAAGCCATCACTGTGCCGAAATTGGAGGTCACAGGTCAAAGGTCAATGAGGCACAGGGCACATTTTAGACATTTTCTGAGGACATTGTCTGACGGAGCGATTGAAAAACGTTTTTGTTTCAGCGGTGACCAACCATTTTTATGGCTTTATTGAAAGGACCATAAAATGTACTTTCCGCTGACATGCGAAGAGTAAGTGTCGGATAACCTTTTGGGTTAAACATGGATTTGTTGACTGTTAACAAAGGACTGAACTGCTTTTGCTATTGTGGATGTGAGGCTACAGTTGCACAGTTCAATTGCAAAGGCAAATGTTTGTTGAACAAGGTTTACGCTCCTTAAATCATATTATTGTATCTCCCAAACGAAGTTCGTGGGGATACTATGGGTTTGGCATCATCGCCAAGTAGTCGCCTAAGCCCCAGTCGCCCGCGGAAACGCAAGTGTAACAGCTCGAGTCGTTGCAGCAGTAAGGAGAGTGCGTCGTCTCGTCCGCGGAGAGAGGAGGAGAGTTCTGCACGCCGCCTGAAGGAGCAACAACGCAGCCGCGACAAGAAGAGCTCAGTGATGGTGAGTGCCCATAGATGGCAGCACGTGGGGGAGAGAGCGTGCGGTCTAGGCTCAACCCACGTACCCGCAGTGCCTCGTTCTTACACCTGCCCCCCACCTTTATCAGTGCGAGCATCATCCTCCATGTTACCTGCTGTTACTGCCCTTGATCAGCATTCGATTTTTCCTCGCCACGCTAGGCTGACCAGAAAGTCACGCTGCAGTGCCTCCAGATCGTCAAGCGTGCGAAGAAGAAGCTGACCGGGAAAACCGAGGTTGCCATGACGACCAACACCAAGATCCCACCGAAGGTTATTTTATGCGAGAAGTTTCTTTTTCTTCCGTCGCCCTCGGTGATCAGGAGAAGGGACTCGGAGGCTGACCGTAAGTTAGATGGCGCCACGGGGCGTCGCGTGCGCAGCGAGATGTGTGTATCAAAGAGGAGAGTACTTTGAAAACTTAATTGTGATATTTGGTTCATTCTTAGAACCCTCGGCAGGCTCAACGAAGTCTGTTGAAGTGTGAATTTGATATGTGTTGCCCTCGTGATAGTAGATTTAGATTTTTCTCCATTTTTCTTCCATTTCATGTTCATATCGTTGCAGTTAAAACTGGATGGACAGCTAAATTGACACAAATTCAATGCTCGGTGCTAAAAACATGAATCTTGTTTTGCTACCTAATTTTGTAATAATAATAAAACAGGCTCGTTTTTCTGCGCTCACTTTACAGCCTACCACCCGCGCTGCATGGTCTGTCCTGTGGTGTCACTATACTGCGGATGTTACTCCGGGGTGTCACCATGGGACGGTGTCACTATACTGGGGGTGTCATTCTTGGATCGTGTCACCATGCAGGGCACGTCCCTCTTGGATCGTGTCACCATACAGGGCACGTCCCTCTATGTGATAGTGTCACCATGCAGGGCACGTCACTCTATGTGATGGTGTCACCATGCTGGGCACGTCCCTCTATGTGATGGTGTCACCATGCAGGGCACGTCCCTCTATGTGATGGTGTCACCATGCAGGGCACGTCCCTCTGTGATAGTGTCACCATGCAGGGCACGTAGTCCCTCTATGTGATGGTTTTACCGTGAAGGCCACGTTTTTGTCGTTGCTGTGACAAGTTGATGTCACATCGTGGTGACGTCACGCGCGGCGCTTGTCCCTAAAAATATGTCAGTTGCCGTTAACCCCGTGGCTTTTCTTTACCTCTACAGTTAAGCAGAAGGAGCAGCAGGAGGAGGGCTTGTTATCGAGCGAGACTTCTGGAAAGGAGGAGGAAGCATCTGCCGGGAAGAAGAGCAAGAGAAAGAGTCAGAAGGATCTCTCCTCGGGAGAAGCGGCCGAGGAAGAAGGTGCGATGCCGAAGCCGAAAAGGAGGAATAGGTCGCAAAAGAAACCACTCCATCTGGGGGAGGGACTCACGAAGGAGGAGGGGAAAAAGGAGGAGGCGGCGGCGGCTGCGGAGGGACAGGCTCCGAAGCCGAAACGGAAAAGGAGGTTGTTTAGAGAACCCCTATTTTTCGTTGAAGAGGAGGAGAAGGCGCGAGAGAAGAACAACACCATCTCCACCGACAACGCCGCCGAGACGCTGCCAGATGGCGCCACCGACAGCGACGCGGCGGAAGTCGACACGGCCACCAGGCCAAAAGATAGCTCTCTGCTCAACATGAAACTCGCAGATGCGTTGAAGCCGCGTGCCATCCAGGGCCAGAAGGGCGTCGGCAAGCGACGGCACTGTCGCAAGCCGCTGCTGCTGCCGCCAAAGAAACACAAGCTGCAGGGGGCGCCACCGGCGAGCAGGGAGGATGCAGTGAGGTCGTTGACGCGCATCGTGCTTGAGAGGATGAGGTTCGACGCAGGGGAGGAGGCCGGGGAGGAGGCCGGGGAGGAGGGGAGGAGTCCAACGAAAGCCGAGTCTCAGGTAGGCACGATTTATATCGATAGTGATGATGACGACGACGACGACGACGACGACGACGACGACTATCATGATGAGGATATCAATACTAGTACATTCGCTTAGCATCGTGCGAAATTGTTTCCTCATCTACACCCGCGATCCGGAGATACAGACTAAAACGTACGATTTTCCATTCTGTTGCCATTAATCCGAACGTATTGCCCGCCTGACTTGAAACAAAAAGCAGCTACTAACGCTCGGCGATGCGGTGTGGCTCGCTGGGAGATTGGAGCTGGAGCTGCAGCTGGGCCTAGATTCATCATTGGAATGTAAATTACCGTCCATAGGCAGGCATCCTACGAAATACGTACGTAACGTTCCTGAGGTTAATTCATGAAGCCGTCCTAGCTCGTGCGAAGGCATATCTTAATGAGTTGCACATAACCCCGCTAGTAGCAGCCGCATTCCTTCCTTGCTGCAGTATATGTGACACCGTTTGTTGCCATACTCGCAGCTAGGGCCTGCATACCTCGCAAAGTTATACTCGGTCGGGTTTTTAACACATTCTAACTCTAAAACTGTAACGTTAAAAATTCCTAAAATATTTGCATAATCAGGCAAGACGGTTTCCATTTTGAATACGAAGTTTTATTTCCTATCGTAGTTTATTTCAAAAGTTATATCAGCCGAAAGTTGCTACCTTGACTCGATTGCAACACTGGCTGGTCAAATATAGACAATATGGCGCTGGCGATCTAGCGGGCGTGGTAGCAACTTTCGGCATACGCGTACTTCTACTTCTGCCACCTCTGGCAACCTGTATGCGATAGCAAGGTTGTGCATTATTGCTACTGCAGTAAATATTTTGATTGTCCTCTCAGGAGTATACAGCATAATGCCACCGGATTTGTTTAGAATGCGGAATCTTGATTTCATTAATCCGAAGCATCTCTCAACAATTGATCGTGTGCGCGAATGAGCCCTGTTATACCGCTCCTCGGCTGCTGTTTGGACGTTCGTTAGTGGAACCAATAGCCAGGCGCCCGTTGTCAGAAACAAATTAGTCTTAACATTAACCTTAACATTAACTTTTTCTCTTAGAGCGTTGACAGAAACTTCGTAAAGTTAAGAGAATTAAAAATTCTCGTAACTTTTCTCTTAACTTAAGAGATCCTAGACCCTTCCTTAACTTTAATATTAAGATGAAAATAACACATTTACACTACGAATTACAATTATAGTGATATTACATTTTATATTAATGAGTAATATCATGTGTTTTTCTTGAAAAACACGTCAAAAACATTAATTATCTACCGATCGTGAAGCAAAACAAAAGTGTCAAAACATTTACAAATGCCGTATGGCATTTGTTCTCTTGTTTTAAATACTTTTGCACCATAGATATCATAATATATAACAATCAATGTTGTTATATGATATCTATGTATTGCACTGACCACACGACTCTCGCGTCTCGCGAGAATTGCTATACAGTGTGAGAATTTGTCTTGTTGTGCAGAATAAGTTCAAGACCGTGTCGTTTTTCATCAAATATTATGTATATATATGTGGTTAGCCATCATAATATGCAATATGCATAAATTACTGTGATCAACAAACACAGTATTTAAAACAATAAACATTGCTAATATCGCTAACAGCATTTAAACTGAATGCACACTAGTTTAAATTTAATGTTCATTATAAATCTGCCTTTCAAGTGTTTCAATGCAATCATTAGAGAGCTCACTGTATAATTATACTCATTATAGTTATGCAGGATCACCAATTTAGTATTGCATGATAATATTATATTTATCCTAAACATATTAGTAATTGAAACAAACCTTGTTGGTAGCTCTATTAACGGGCAAAGTTCATTTGCCAAATCCATCAATGCATGCCGAGGAAATCTGTAGCGATTGAATAGCGTGTGGTCTGTCAAATGGAATGGATCCTGCACGCTCTCTGCAAATTGCTCGTCTCTGTACTTTAGTATTGCTGCCGCTGCTGTAAACGCTGCCATCTCGTCCACTGATTTTTTTATGTCTGGTGTGGGCGTGTGTGTGTGCGATTGACTCGCCCCAACTTACGTGGATGCTTGTCTAAGCAGGATGTCAACAGAAAGTCTTTGGTTCCAACCACCAGCCTTAAACTAGTGTAGGTGTAAACAAACACCTTTTGTTACAACATTATAGGCACTGACTGTGCGAAAACACTCTGTTTATACGCGCCGCAGTGCAGCTATACGACAGCTCTCTGGCTGTCGTAGAGTTATACACAGTGGACGTCAGCGTAGCGCGTTGATGAATCGCAACTTAAATCGCTATGTATGCGCGGGCTACGTTGACGTAGACTAATTGGCTTGATGAATCGCACTTAAGCGGCACGGCATGCCTAGTCCCCGCTTATGCCAGCCTGCCGTGCTGAGAAGCGTAAATCCCGGGGGGATAGGGGGATGCATCCCCCCCGCTCTTGGAGGAGGGGGGGATGGCCTGTACAAATATCCCCCCCTGAGATTCAAAAAAAAAACTCCTTCCTCCGTGCTCCACTGGAAAGTTCAGCTAATTATGATAATTTGGAGACATGGGCAGACCTAAATCATTTCAATTACTGCAGGGGCGTGTACAGGGGGGGGGAGGGATCCAGAGGGTCCGGACCCCCTCCCTGCTCGCGCAGTAAACGCATCTGAGGGGGTCTAATTTCAAAAAATTTCTGGGGGAGAGCCCCCCACACCCCCCCTTCACGTCATCATCCCCCCCAGTCCTCGGTACGGATTTACGCCCCTACAGTGAGAAGCAATGATAAATCTGGCCCCAGCTTCTGATTGCGGTGGTCGTACGTGCGTGGGGTGCATACCAGCTGTATGCCGGTATGCCAGTATGTACGTAGCTGTATGCCGGGTCAAAGGTTATCTCGCCGAGTGTTGCGTCGATGTGCAATCTCTCGCTTCGCCGTGCTCGTCAAAACATGTGTGATTGACATGACGGTTTGTTCGGCAACGGACGACGTCTGATTGATTGATTTATTTATTTCGATAATTAACAAAGCAAGCATACATTACATCGATAACAGCATTAATAAACAAAATGCAGCTAGAAAATTATCGAGGATGAAAACACAAAAAGGGTGGCTAGCTAGCTTATATCACACTTATTTCCATTGTGGTCCAACATAACATTGTGCATACTATAAACTATAGCAAATATACCCACGATCCCCAAAATTTCGGAGTGATTCAGTGATACAGTACAATAGATTGCTATACAGCATGAAGAAAAAATATATACAAAAAACTTCAGCATATTATGTACAAGTAAAGTGATTAAGGTAAGTGTTAAGCAGTTAAATAAAAAAATAAATAAAATAAAAAATAGAAGCTTTCTGAGTGATACAATCAAGAGCATATAAAGAAGGAGAGCGTACAACGGTAAAATGCTGAAACCATGTTGCAGTATTAGTCGAATGAATAAACTTTCCCCGTGTTATTTTGACGATTCTTTGTGACCGACGTGCTTGTGTTTGTGTGTTTTAGGCGGTGGCAGTGGAACGCGAGGACGTGGGAGAGAACGTTGAGATGATGGGCAGCGGTGGCGCCCTCTTACGGAGGCGAAGACCGGTGCAGCCGCAGAACACGGTGGAGCACGAGGAGAAGAGTGAGAAGGAAGATATAGAGTTGTTTGACAGTGGTAGGCCTAGTGACAGCAATGGAAGCGGTGCTGCCACAAGGAGGGTTCGTCGCACTGGAAAGCCGAGGCGCAGTCTACAGCTGAAGTTCAGTGCCCTCTATGGGCTGGGAACCCAGACAGCAGTGCGCGAGGGGGACAGGAGAGTGAGAGAGGACGATGGCGCAGCAGGGAATAGTGAGAGAGTGGCGATCGGGCCAGCAATGCGTGTGAGAGTAAACGTCGAGGGAAAGGTTTTCCTTATTCTGCTGCCGCGACACGAAGCAGGCAAGTATGGAAGCATCCCTCGGTTATGCGGCTCCATCTCTGACGTAGTAACGCTGCTTAACCATGATGTCCTTCCTTTTTGAGCATTGATTAAGCATTCCTTGTTAAGTGGTTCATTGTGTTGTGGTGCTGCATAACCCTGAATATTCCGGCATAAGTGTTTTTGTCTTTTTGTGGTAATTATTTGACAGTAATTGAGCTGAATTTGTACAAGTTTTTTTAAATCGTATCCCGTGAACAAATTTCCATACAGGAATGAGCTAACGAATTTGTGTGTTATGTTTATGTGAAGCAATAGAGTTAATTTAAAAATTCGAATCTATATAGCTTCTATCTACTTGCATCTCATAAGTACTGCGCATATAGTTTCTCGAAAGCAATGGTATTGACTGTAAGGTAATCTTTATTTTAAACAATATCAAGGGCCCATTAAGTAGTGTTGAGCAAGAGTGTTAATTGTTAATTGGCTCTTGACAATCTGCGACCATGATTACAAACTCATCTTGACTTCTACTATAGGCCAAACGTAAAAATCTAAACTTCTGACATATGAGCCTTGCTGTGTTGACAGATGAGAGGAGGATTAGTTGGTTAGCGGGCGAATCATCTCGGCGCTATTACGTTGCTAATGGTCAATGGCCTCAGCTGACGCTCCACACTAAAGATGGCGCTGTGATCGTACCCAATTACAAAGTCACCGATCTGGTGACAAACAATGAGGAGTTCGTAGCTAGTGTAAAAACATGGGAGATGCCTACTCTAACAGAAAGGCACGTCTGTTATTTCAGCATTGCTTGCGTGATCTGTGGTGTCTTTCTCAAGCACAGAATCTAGACCCCTAGGTGTCTTTCTAGAGCACAGAGATCCCTAGGCATGTATGCATGTGTTCCATCACGACAGTTGAAGCTTATGTTCATAGACGTCAGTCAACTTGTTGGTAGTTCAATATTGATGGCATTCTGATCTGAAAGCTCGAAAGTGACCTTTGAATTAGCATTAGCCTATCTATCATGTAATTGGTGCATGCTGTATTTTTGCCCCGTATCACACTGGGTTCACGCCTGTATCATGACCTGTGTATGTTGTAATTTGTTTATGCACCATGCTCCATGCCTCGTGTATGTCATGCAATGTTATCATGCACGGGCATGTTTCATCAGGGCCCGTGTATTGCGAAATGTTTTGCATGTCATGTCATGCGTCATGTTATATCATGTAGTGACGCCACGTTGCATTGTTGCAGGTATGCGTTTGCGTGTGAGGCGGCAATGACCCCGCGGGACGAAAACATAACAGGCGAGTTACGCATGGCTGACTCCATGCACTGCCTGCGCCTGAGCCACTTCGATCTGCACCTCCATCGGGCGCGGCCCCTGCTGCGCTCGCTACCGGGGCAGTGCACCCTCACCGTCCTCGATCTGTCCGGTAACTTTCTCGGCGATGAGGGATGCAAGGAACTCGGTCCTGCCCTCCCCTCCCTCGTCGCCCTCTTAAAGCTCAACCTCTCCGTCAACAAAGTCACGCACTATGGTCTGCACATGCTGGTCAAGGGCGGCAGCGCGGGGCCGCCACGTCTGTCCGCGCTGCGCAGCCTCGAGCTCAGCGCCAACCCGCTCGGTTACGCGTGCGCGCGGCCGCTCGCTGCCGTGCTAGCTCACGCGCCGCGGCTCGCCTCGCTCGGGCTGCGCGGGTGCGACCTGACGGCGGCGGTCTTCCAGGATGCGGCGCTCGCCGGCGCGCTCGCTGCGTTGGAGAGCCTCCGTTGCATCGACGCGGCCTTGAATGGGCTTGGCATGAGCAGCGTGAGGCTGCTGCACGGGTATGTTAGGTGGTCTGGTCAGGGGTTAAGGTGAGCCACGATGTCGTGTCGCCGCGAGCGTGCGACTGGTGCGCGCGAGCGTGCGACAGGAGAGTGAGAGCGTGCAACTGTGATGGCGTCTACGATCGGCAAGCCGACGGTTGTGTCGCGTGACTCTACGACGCTTCCTCGGTCGATATGCGTGGACGAGGGAGAGACACAAATATCTGTGTGAATGCATAGTGTAATCATGTGATAGTGATTGGTCATGTTGGTGATCGTATTTTAAAAATACGATCACCAATCACTATCACATGATTACACTATGCATTTTTTGTACCATTGCAAATCGTAATATTTTGACGGTATTTGTAATTTCGTCTATTACTTTTCCCAGGTCGGTGTGATACGTCGGGAGATGCCCGTGATCGTATAGTTTAGATATTGTTATTCTTCTTGCGTTGTGTTATTAACTGTTCTGCTTGTTTCGTGTTTGCGGTGAAGCTTGAAGGAGATGTCAGGTAGTATCAGTGATCAAACACAAATAAATTCGTAAGTCCATGAATGAGTTTTCTACGCATAGTAATTTATTGTTGCTCACGCCGCGAGTGAGCAAGAGTCCAGATATGGGTGTTACCACAATATATACTTCTTCCCGTCCGTCCGTCTGTGCATCTGTCAGTCTTTGAGTCCGTCTGTCATGTCTTTCAACCTCGTCGATATGCGTGCGTGCACAGAGAGAGAACGATAACCAACGACCAATCCTTTCCTCTTCCGAGGTGTGTCGTATTTATACAACTGCTAGGTGACGTCATCTTATTTCCTGCATGTGCAAGACCGTTCGGTCTGCACTAGCTCTATAGTAACTATAGCCCGCTTACATTAACTGCCGCTGGCGGTTAATGTAAGCGGGCTATAGTACTAGAGCTAGGTCTGCACGTGCTTGGGCTGTCACCAAGGTGTCGGGTTAACCGTATAATATTGAAATGGAATTTTACCAATCACGTTCTACTCACGTGTAGAGTTCACATGCGTACTTCCTGTATTGTAAGAGCTTCCACTCCGGTGTTCTTCCCAACAAACATCCGAAATGTTATCCCATGCATACTTTACATTATACTTTACCAATGATAGTTTTGGCCCAAGGATAGAGAACATTTTGGTCTTGTTTTAGAGAGCAAAGAATTCTGCTTAATGCAGTACCATAAAATTATTATAGACTCGCAGGCAAAGTAGAATAATCATGTCGTGAAATAGCACTATTTTCCCGTTTTTCCGTTGTACACTCTAGTTATTATTATCTCTTGATAATATGTCTCCCGTTACCCTACAGTATTTTAGGCCGATATTCCATCTGATTTTCACATGTTCTGGTAGACGTGTACTTATTATAACGAGTATTTATACTGGTATAATATTGGAAAACGTATTTTCTTTGGAAGAATTTGACGTTGTTTAGTCTACTATGGACTTCGTGTGCTGTCATTAGGTTAACTGTTATCTATTATTATCTATGGCAAGTGTGCTTGGAATCGTGCAATCTCGCGTTTTACTGGTACATCTATTTATAATATTGAGTTTATAATCTTGTGATTAGTATAGTCCCTGTATAGCCTAAGTCTACGAGCATGCGCAGTAGCATGCGCGTTCATGATATTGATTATAATAAATCATTGTTAACTAAAATTTAAATGGTTTCTTTTTTACATGATGTCAAGTATTTGAAAGCTTCGTCACAATATTCCTTTTCAAATCGACGAGTTCATGGGCTACCTAACACGCTTTCTATTAAGCTAACGTGCAATAGATACATACGTACATCACAATTACATACATGATTAATACAACATATGCCACAATTCCTCTACCTCTCTCTTTCCTTCCTTGCTAATTGTTTTCTCTCTAGTTACTTCTCTCGCCTCTCACTCACTCTCTCCCTCTCAGTGACACTCGCCCTCTCATACAATCTCTCGCGCGCAATTTTTCTCGCTTCTTGTATCATGTCTCTCTGGATTTTGTCATTGCCAATTTCCATTCCAATGGAAGTTAATGGGTGGAAATTAATTCCATTAATTGGAAATGCTATGCATTTTGACATTCTAGCGCCATCTAGTGTGAATAATAATAGAAAATAATTATAAAGTGCACTTTATTCCTTACTTCCTTACTCCCCTCTCACGGATGGTATCGCCCATGATCAGTCAAGCGTTAAAAATCTTTGATAGAAATCCTTTGTGTTTCGGCTCAAACTTTTTCACCCGTCGATGCACAAAATCTTGCATGCGTGTGTACACATGCACGCATAATACACAGAAACGCACGCACGCACACGCACGCGCACACACATAGACACGCACGCACACGCACGCGCACACACACAGACACGCACGCACACACACACACACAGACATGCACGCACGTACGCGCTGATTGCCGCAACGTATTCGACGCAGCGCCGCAGAAAGGAGAGAGAAGCCGCCAAGCGCAAACGCATGATTGCCGACGTGTGCGATCACATCAAGTATAAGCGGAGCGCGCCACGGAATTCTTCCGAATACAATCAGGATCAACTGGACACTGCCTTCAGTGACCACAGCTACACAGCGTAAGTATTAGACAAAACAATAGTTAGTAGAGGTAGCAGTAAATTGCAGAGGATGCTAGCTTGTGCTGCAGAGAGGTGGGGTTTTCATGCTGGGTCAGTCGGTCCAGCCTAGGGTTTCCCCACCCGAGTGCGAGGCATATGCTAAACCACGCTGCAAGTAATTCTTCGATTAAACAATTGTTAAAGAGAGCAGACACGTAGGCCTGTCAGCATGCCCGATAGTCCTGTCTCTAACCCTTTCATTGTTGAAGGACCTTGCTTTTATCAAATCTCATCTTCTCAACTCCTGCTAATAGTACTTGGCTACATTTTACTGCTAAGACGTTTTACTTGTATCAGTGTATCAGGTATTTTTTATAATTCTGTCATTGAATGTCAATCCTACGATTTTTTTAGGGAGCTAAGGTCGCAGGGTCGTATGATTGCCTGATGTTGCATCTACCACCCAAGAAGCCCTATAGGAATCGCTATCAGCACGCAGCCTAATCACCGGCATAAAGGGACACTGCGTTTTCAAGAATGATGCTTGGGTAATTTCTTATACAACATTATAATGTCTGCCACGAATTAATCAGCTTAATCTGTTACCTGATTAACATCGGATTTCATCACGATATGACGGGCTTCTCTCTTGCGAGATCTCTTGTATTCAATAGACACGTTAACAGAATCTGGTCTCTGTGTATATGTGGTCAAAGTTTTTAACTGTGATAACTTGAAACGCTCATAAGTAACACAAACCTGACGTAAGTTGGTGTAGTATCAATTGATTTATCGTGCGGACAGCGGACTTGCTCATTGTTCAATGCGTATAATATAAGACAGTGTATGTGTAAATTTTATACGGGGCAATATTATTCTAGCTGTTAATGTTCAGCTGTGGCAATAGACACCTAAAGGAATTAAAAAAACATGGTTTTGTGGCGACTTCGAACGTTAACACAGTAACTAACAGTTACTGTTAACCAGAATATTTTTAAAGAGAATAATGATAAAAATGTTTATCAGGGCACGAAATTCAGATTTTTTTGCACCGGCCCAGAGGGCTGGTAACAGCAATTTTTTACCAGCCCTCACCATAATTTACGAGCCCTCATAAATTTTGTTTGTAAAACCAATGTCACGTTTCACTCTTGCATTCTCGATTTCAAATTTGTAAAATATTGATAAATTATGGCATGATATCCTTCAGGTAAAACAGTAATGTAGGCTATTTTCTCATTAATGCTATAAATAAAAAATGTAGGTACTTGCTATCACGGCTGAATTAAAACACCGGCTTCGAGGGCCGGTGTTTTGCCAATGTTACCGGCCCTCCAAATAATTTGCCAGCATATGCCGGTGGGCTTGCGCTAATTTCGTGCTCTGTTTATATATGCTTTACTAACATAATTATAATTATATATATATATATATATAATAATGCATATCATAATTACAGTACAATGGTAATTTATTTTGCAGTGTCAATCATCTCGTAAACGGATGTACGTGGCGAGGAGACGGGGAATCAACGCGTCAAAAGGTTTTCATGAACGATTGAGTGATTATCGGCCCCAGCCACTTTCCAAGGAACAGCAGACGGTGGGGGTGAGCAATCGCCCCCAATCAACACCAGTACGCAGCAGTGTGGGGCGAGCAATCATCGCCTGATCAACACCAGTACGCAGCAGTGTGGGGCGAGCAATCATCGCCTGATCAACACCAGTACGCAGCAGTGTGGGGCGAGCAATCATCGCCTGATCAACACCAGTACGCAGCGGTGCGGGACGAGCAATCATCGCCTGATCAACACCAGTACGCAGGGCGGTGGGGGGGCGGGAAGAGTGATGCGTCGGCTGATCAACGACCCATACGCAGCGATGTGGGGCGAGCAATCGTTGCCGTGATCAACAACCAGTACGCAGCGGTGCGAGCTGAGGCGATTGTGCGCCTGATCAACACCAGTAACGCAGCGGTGCGGGAAGCAGAGATCGGTTGCTTGATCAAACACCAGTACGGCAGCCGGTGGGCGGGCCGAAGCAACTCATTGCCTGAATCAACACCAGTAACGCAGCAGTGCGCGAGGACGAAGCAATCATCCGCCTGATCAACCCAGTAGCGCAGCGGTGCGAGGCGAGCGCGACATCGCCCATGATCAACACGCAGTACGCAGCAGGTGCGAGGCGAGCGAATCGTTGGCTGATTAACACCCAGACGCGCGGTAGCGAGGCCGAGCAATCATCGTCTGATCAACACCAGTATGGTCGCAGCGGTGCGGGACGGAGCAATCGTCAGCTGATAACACCAGTCGCAGGCGGTGTGAGGCGACGACTCGTCCGCCTGATCACCCAGTACGCCGCGGTGCGAGGCGAGCGACGTCGCCTGATCAACACCGAGTTACGGCAGCGGTGCGAGGCGAGCCGAGTCGTCAGCTGATCACACCAGTACGCAGCAGTGGCGGGCGAGCAAGGTCATTCGCCTGATGAACACGCAGTAACGCAGCGGTGCGAGGCGAGCGATGTCACCCGTGATCAACACCCAGTACGCCAGCGCGGTGTTTGAGGCGAGCGAGTCGTCACCTGATCAACACCAGCTACGCAGCGCGTGCGGGGCGAGCGATCATCCGTCTGATCAACGACCAGTACGCAGCGGTGCGCGGACGAAGCGATCGTCACCTGAGTCAACACAGTACGGCAGCGGTGCGGGGAACGAGCGATCGTCGGCTGATCAACACCAGTACGCAGCGTGCGGACGAGCGATCGTTGCGCTGATCAACGACACCAAGTACGCAGCGCGTGTGAAGGCGAGCGATTGTCTGCTGATCAACACCAGTACGCAGCGGTGTGAGGCGAGCGATCGTCGCCTGATTCAACACGCAGTACCGCACGCGGCGGGGACGAGCGAGTCGTCGCCTGATCAACACCAGTACAGGGGCAGGGCGTGCGGGATCGGAGCGATCGTTGCCGTGATCAAACACCAGTACGCAGCGGTGTGAGGCGAGCGATTTTGGTCGCTTAGCGGATTGCTGCCAATGAACATCAGCTTTTTCGAGGACAGCGTATCGGGAATGAGCACGGCAGTCCATTAAGCGGCCTGAACAATGGCTTAGAGGTGTCTGCCCACCTAAAAAAATATGATCACATTGTAAAGTATCTTTATTTCAAACCATGGATGGATGGCATAGGATAGATGGATACATGGATAAACGGCCCATAGACCGCCGATGGATGGATAGGTGGATGAGGACGACGCACAGAGCAGATCACGATATATGCATTTTGCGTTAGTGCATCTTCAGCATAGAATGCGTAGGTTCTCTTTGTGGGCGAGGATACAGGATATACATAATATCAAGAGGCTTAATAATACGTAGGAGTGTACAACGAAAAACGGGAAAAATAAGTTGCTATTTACGACTGATATTCTCTTGCCTGCGAGTCAAATATTTTTATGGTACTGCATTAAGCAGAAATCTTTGCTCTCTAGAAACAAGACAACCGCTTGTCAAATACAATACTCCTAGGCTGAGATAACTTGGCTCCTAAACCTCCCTCCCACAGGCATCACACGCGCCTCGAATCACATCTATTCAGCAACCGCTACACCCTCTAAGAGCAATTTCGGCTACTCGTTTCCGTCACCGCTCGAGGCGGCTTGATAAGTTGATGTCAATGCCCAATTTGGTACTCTAACTACACCTGCTGACTTGAGCTGCGTTGTAAAACTTAATTATGCAAAACATTGCCGGCTCCATCATGACGGGCAATCAGCCGTGCTAGAGATAATAGGCATAGGCGATGCCCTCCGAAATGCCGTTCATTCATAAAATTATGGCGGAAAACCCGAACTTTCACGAAAGGTCAACCCTTAAGAGCGTGTAGGTTGCTGAATGATGTGGATTCGAGCGCATGTGATTGCCTGTGGGGAGGGGAGTTTAGGAGGGCCAATATCTCAGGGCCTAGGAGTATTCCTATTGACAAGCGGTTTGGTCTTGTTTTAGAGAGCAAAGAATTCTGCTTAATGCAGTACCATAAAATTATTCAGGAGGCTCGCAGGCAAAGCAGAATACATCATCCGTCGCCTGAAATAGCACTATTTTCCGTTTTCGCGTGAGCACTCTAGTATTATTAGCTCTTGACTAATATGTCTCCCGTTACCCCTACAGTATTTTAGCCGAGTATTCCATTGATTTTCACGCATGTTCGGTAAGACGTGTACTTATTTATTAACAGTATTTACTGACTATAAATACTTTGGAAACGTATTCTCTTTGGAAGATATTGACGTTGTTTATCTAGCTATGGACTTGTGTGCTGTCATTAGGTTAACTGTTATCTAATTATTATCTATGGCAAGTGTGCTTGCTGGAATCTCGCAACTGCAGGCGTTTTACTGGTACTCTATTTTATATATTGAGTTTATAATCTTGGTTGAGTAGAGCATGTTATAATGCCTAAGTCTTACGAGCAAGCGCAGTAGCATGCGCTTCATGATATGATTATAATAAATGATCGTTAACTTAAATATTTAAATGGTTTTCTTTTTTACATGATGTCAAGTTTGAAAGCTTCGTCCTATAATTCCTTTTCAAATCGCGAGTTCATGGTACCTAACACGCTTCCTATTAGCTAACGTGCAATAGATACATACGTACATCACATGATTACATACATGATAATACAACATATGCCAACAATTTCCCATCTACTCTCTCTCTTTCCTTCTTGCTAATTGTTGTTTGCTGCTCTATTACTTCTCTCGCCTCTCCACTCACTCTCCATCCTCTCAGTGACACTCGCCTCTCATCAATCTCTCAGCGCCTAATTTTTTCTCGCTTCTTGTTATAGTCTCCCTGGAATTTTGTCATTGCAATTTCATTCAATGAAGTTAATGGGTTGGAATTATTCCATTAATGAAGCAAACTGCTATGCATTTTTGTACATTCTAGCGCCATCTTGGTGAATAATAATAGAAAATAATTATAAAGTGACTTTATTCCTTACTTCTCTTACTCCCCTCTCACGGATGGTTATCGCCCATGATCAGTCAAGCGTTAAAAATCTTTGAACAAAATCCTTTGTGTTTCGGCTCAAACTTTTTCACACGGCTCTCGATGCACAAAAATCTTGCATTGCAGCGTGGCGCGCTGTGTACACATGCCGCATAATATCAGAAACTACGCACGCAGCACGCCTCACGCGCACTGACACATAGAGGACGTCCCCACGCACGACGCACGCTGCTACTACACACAGACACTGCACCGCACGGACACAGCACACCTACAAGACATGCCGCACTGACGCCAACACACTACACACACATCACTACCACTACGCACGCACACTACATCACAACCGCGGTCCACGACCACACAAACAAACGGCACACACCACACACAACACACGATCTACACACATCACTACACAGGCACGTCACGCAACACAGGGCCGCCGGGCGCATACATAACACACAACGCACACACAAACCGCACACGGAACACGCAACAGACGCACGACGCACGCACGCACGACAACGCGCAGCACAGACCGAGCACACACCACGCACGAACGCGACGCGACGCCACGCAACGCACGCACACACGGCAGCACGACACACCACATATATATATATAATATATACATATATAACGCACGCAACGCCACGCTAAACGGCCGCACGCAGCCACTGGCACACACAACGCGCGCGACATTACGGGCACGCAACACCGGCCAGCCACGGGTGTGGTCGCACGCGCGCGTGCACGTGTATTATTAGCGAACATTTTGTGCATCGACGGATGAAAAAGTTCGAGCCGAAACACAAAGACTTTCTGTCAAATATTTTTAACGCTTGACTGATCATGGGCGATACCATCCGTGAGAGGGGAGTAAGGAAGTAAGGAATAAAGTGCACTTTATAATTATTTTTTATTATTATACGCACTAGATGGCGCTAGAATGTCAAATTGGAACATAGCATTTTAGAAACTAGTGCATAATTATTATTCCTTACTTCCTTACTCCCCTCTCACGGATGGTATCGCCCATGACCAGTCAAGCGTTAAAAATCTTTTACCAGAAAATCGCTGTATTTCGAATCGAACTTTTTCACTCGTCATTCCACTAAAAGTGGATTTACGGCTATAATACGCGTTTTTACAGTCACATAAACACACATACACCCGCGCGACCGTGTACGCACACGCGGGTGTGGTCGCACGCGCGCGTGCACGTGTAGTATAGGCGTAAATTCACACTTTGTGTCTCGGCGGGGTGAAAAGTTCAAGCCGAAATACGGCGATTTTCTAGTCAAAGATTTTTAACGCTTGACTGATTTTGGGCAATACCATCCGTGAGAAGGGAGTAAGGAAGTAAGGAATACTACGCACTTTATAATTATTTTCTATTATTATTCACACTATAGATGGCGCTAGAATGTCAAAATGCAACATAGAATTTCCTATTAATGAGATTAATTTCCCTCCATTAACTTCCATTGGAATGGAAGTTGGCAATGACAAAATCTATATATCAACCTCTCTCAAGCGCGGAGAGCGAGAGAGAGAAATAACTAGAGAGATAGGGAACTAATCAGAATCTCCTAATAAGCATATCCTACGACTCTACCCTAAGCCTTCCTTGCGACCCCCAGAGGGTTGGTCGCAGCCCACCAGTTCGTGAAACACTGGATTATGTGAA